TTAACCCGCGTTGTCGCGATAATAATAAATTTTCCGTATCGAAGTCCGTCATTTAAGTGGGAATTATTTTGCAATTAGGAACAGGTTGTTCCGCGGATCGAATCGATTACGATCTAATCAACGCTGCAGCCGTGGTCGCGCTGCAATTTGCCGCCAGGATTTATTCATAAAACGCGTCGATTTACTCGCGAACGCGTAAAAGAGGCATTCCACCGCTGCTTAACGAGAATGCTAAGCCGCAAGGGCAGGAGATCAGGGACTTTACTGGAATGTGCAGCGAACTGCATGCACGCATGATGCATTCGTCGATCCGTGGGTGGAGGGGAACGAGTATGAGAGAGAGAGAGAGAGAGAGAGAGGGGGGAGAGATGTAGGAGCGTAGGACGAATACGGTGCACTCGACTCTCGATGCATTTTTTGAACGACATTCACTGGCTTGGCTCTATTTTACGTCTGTATGTATCATCGTGTAAATTTCTTTTTAGAAACTTTCGCCACACGTTGTTTAGTTAGGATTTAATTTTTGGATTTCTTCTCTGCTTCGCTGTAACGTGCAACGTGCAATGTGTTGTCTTTCCTTTCAGAGGAATGCTCTACGGATCTCTCTTGCTTCGATCGAATTGGAAAAGAAAGCCTTTATATAAAAATGAAATGACTCGTTAATTTGGTTGAGTTTGAGGTATAAACATACGAAAATCATACATCAACTGTTTGCGGATGAGTTTTCGAAGAATTTTTCGTATAAAAAATATCTTTTACGGCTCTCGAATGTCGAATAATACTATCATTAACAGTCGAGAAATATCCTTGCGAATTTGCTAGTAAATTTAATGATAAACCGAATGAAATGAATAAACATAAACTAATTGTCTAATTATCCTATTCGGAAAATATGAAAGAAAATATGTGAAAAGTCTATATAGCGCGACTTGTCAGTTCGCTAATGTCAGTAATTAAAATAAGAAAATATTTTTTTGAAACTTTAATTCATCACACGCACGAAACAAGGGAAGGAAGTGAAGTCGCGGTATTTCAGTGTTATATTTTCGTTAGTATGATCGGGTTCGAATAAAAATCTGTGTACGCACGAGCATATCGGGAACGCGACCACAATGAATCGTTGGATAAATGCAGGTAACGGTCCGGTTAGAAAACGATCGTGAAAAGATCGGATCCACGGAGCGGATAGAAAGAAACGATCGATCGGCTAATCCCATCGATATGTGACGATTATGGTTGGCTGATGATTATTTCCTGCAACGTGTTATTCAGAGATTACCGGGATACTGAGATTCGATGTCTTGCGAGAGCACGTTTCGCGAATATATTGTGAGCGTGTTTTGTGATTTGAAAGAACGCGATATTTAATAGACACACGTTATATCAAGGCACGAAAGAGAAA